GAGTTAGAAAAGAAATCGCCAGCTGAGGATGGCAATATATCTGAATTTTACGTTTTGTATTGGGATATAATAGGACACGATTTTTTTACACCCCTTCAAGAAATATTTAGCAAAAATGTTTTAAGTAAATCTCAACATAAAGGGGTTCTTACGCAAAACAATATAGGTGGTGAAAGAGAAAATATTAAAAACTGGAGACATCTTACCTTACTTAACACCGATAATAAAATCATAGCAAAACGTCTTGCAATTAGATTGAGAATACATTCAGATCAAAAAAGGATTTGATAAGGGAAGAAACATTAGTGATGCTAACAGTATGATTCAGGATATAATAGACTATGTAGACAACGAAGACAAAGATGGAATAATAATATTTTTTGACCAACAAAAAGCCTTTGATGCACAAAAACGAATGGACATGTTTCAAAAAAGTTTCTGATAACTCGTATTCATTCTCCAAGCAGAACCAATGGCATTTGCAATACAAGGTAACAAGGAAATTGAAAAAGTATTGAAACTAAATTATGCATGTTTGCTGATTACACACAACTTTTAAATAAAAATCAGAAATCAGTAGATTCTAACACTATATGAAAAGGCTTCGGGATTTAAAATAAATTACGATAAAACAAAAGCTGACAGTTAACAAAATAAATGGATTACAGGTAATGTAAAAATCTTGGGAGTAAATCATGGTTATGAAATTGATAATGATGCTATATGGCAAAGCATTATAGAAAAGATTAAAAAAACAGTGTTCCCGTGTGGAAAAGCAAGAAATTTACATTTAGTGGTAAATCTTTAATAGTAAGAAATTTCATATTGCCTTTGTGCTCTTATGAAATTGAAATGCGGGGAATTCATGAAAAAATTCGAAAGAATTAAACAATATTATTTGGAATTTTATATGGAATGGGAAAGTTAACCAAATAGAACGACAGGTATGTTGTCTTGAGATAACAAAGGGTGAAATGGGAATGGTTAGTATTGATTTATGCATTGTAAGTAAACAAATAAAGTATCTTTATTGCATTATTCATGAACCGTTAGAAGGCTGGACTGCGATTGGCAAGTACTGGCTTCGACCATTTGATCAAGTATAATGATCAATATTTCTTTTAACAGAACATGATCTATACATGGTCTAACTTTCTTAAAAACTGGCGATAATCCAAAAACAAAGACAGATGTACTTAATTTGAGAATATTTTGTAATTCAAAACTTTATTTTCAAAGTAAGTCATTGTTTTTTCTTCCTTTTTTAAAAAGTAACATGAAATATATCAAAGATATACAAAAAGAGCGCCCCTGGTGAGTCTTTTGTGGACAAACCGCGCGTGTCTGACGTACAAAATTATAAGTCTGGTATCTTTGATGAGTTTCGTTAAAAAATCCCAAAATTTTAGAAGAATATTTAATTCAATATTAATAATAATATAAACAATATTCAAAGATCTACAGCGTTGTTGTTTTTAACTTCAGATACAAACCTTCTAGCGTTCTCCCTTTTCTAGTGGGTCCAATTTTAGATACAACATGCATTTGTTGCTGCAATAATTACAAAGAAGTCCATATTATTGTTCAATTGGCTTTTCCTGAAATGGAAAATTATACATCATTTAGAATTGGTAGACTGATTGTTTGCGTAAAAGCCTGGTAATAATTACTCTATTTATTATATTCAGCACAAACATCAAAGACGTCGTCAACCAAACTTTATCCATGTCTAAAAGAGTATGTGGAGTTTTAGCTCTGAATGAAACATTTCAACCTTTAACAGTTCTAGCTCTGCCACCATTTTCGAGGACTATTTGAACTATATGAACGCGCAATTCTTTGGGGGTGGAGGGAGGGGGGGGGGGGGGTGGGGAGAAGAAATCCCAAAACATCCTGCACGAACGGCAGGAAAACTTCATGACTATGTATATGGCACACAATATTTAAAGCACAATTTAGTAGTTGATAGTGATTGACAATGGATTTTGCAATCGTGTAAAACAGATTTTGATCTGTGGTACCTCTTGCCTGTGGAAAAACGGAAACCGGTTATAGGATGTAATATACATTTAGTTAAAGAGAGGCAAAATATATCAAAGTGACATTAAAACTCATAAGTCTAAAATAAACTTACAACGACAGGGCTAAAAAAGTAAAAGACAAACAGACAAACAACAGTACACAAAACACAACATAGACAACTTAAGACTGAGCAACACGAACCCCAACAAAAGCAGGCGGTGATTTCAGGTGCTCCGGAAGGGTTAACAGATCCTGCTTTACATGTCGCACCCGTCGTGTTTCTCATGTAAGTACCAACACGGTGATAAGTCTAATTTGGTAGGTCACATTCGAGGAAGAGAGAAAGTGATTGTACTTACGACAATTTGAATATATTTGTCGTTATCTGTGATACATATATTCCATAACGGCCAATCAGCTCTATACTAGTTAAATGATTGATTCACAAATTATTTGTTATTAATTCATATAAATGAGTGTTTGGTGGCTTGTAATACTATTTTAGCAACTGCTAAGTCAATTCTGAGCGATTTATTTCTCTGCTGTGGAATGACAATCGATTTTTTCGAAGAATAGCAATTTCTTGAAAGTTGAAATCTTTTGTCATGCAAAGTAGAAAAAAAAGGTTTTATTTATAAAAGTACTTCATATTTAAAACAGTTAAATATTCTTGTTCCTGTTTTCCCCTTTTTCGTAAAGGTAAGTTGAGACTCGGTATCGAACTAGTGCTTCATTAATATTGCAATAACTTATGGCAAGTATAGTTTGAATTTCTAAATATATTCAAATGAATGCAGGACAATGTCCTGTATCTTTCCAGTTCTATGTAGCAACATTCCAGCAGCGCCTGCATACGGAGTAAATCTCCCAGTTAAAAAGGATATTCCAGGGCTTGTATTTCCTATCATGATCTCCTTGATAGAGGGTTGCTGCTCACAAGAAAGCAAATAAACCAAGAGTTCCAAGTGGTGAAGTTGAAATCATCCCTTCGTAAGTTTTACGGACGCCATCACGAATTAGTTGACCGTTATGGAATATCCGTTTCACAGATGATAACGGATATGTTCCTAATGTCGTAACTACAATCCCGTCCCATTTTTTCCGAATGTGACCTACCGAATAAAGACTTATTTCGTGGTTTGTACTAACATGAGCAACACAACGGGTGCAACATGGGGAGCAAGATCTGCTTATTCTTCCGAAGAATCTGAGGTCACCCCCAGTTTTTGGTGTGTTTCGTGTTGCTCAGTCTTTAGTTTTCTATGTTGTGTTTTGTGTACAATTGTTTGTCTATTTGTCTTTTTCTTTTTTAGCCATGGCGTTGTCAGTTCATTTTCGACTTATGAGTTTGAATGTCCCTCTGGTATCTTTCGCCTCTCTTTTATCCACTTTTGTCACAACTGTATGCATTTCTTCATTGACAAACAAAATCTCTTATATTGGCAATAAGTCACATCTCTGATAAAGTTTGTATACAATAATGAGATGTGGTATGATTGCCAATTAGACAAGTATCCACCAAAGTTCAAATAAAGTAAATGTAAGCAATTCTAGGCCTTCAACAATGAAAAATCCCATACCGAACAATTGAGAAAGCTAACGGCCTACTTTAAAACAAAACAAAATTACGAGAAAAAATAAACAAATATGACAGGCATGAACCAAGGACAACCACTGAACTACAGGCTCCTGGCTTGGGGCAGACACTTAAAGAATGTGACGGGGTTAAAAATGTTTGAAGGCGCAAACCTCCTCCTAACCTGGGATAGTGGCTTAACAGTACAACATAAGAAAAAACTATAAAATCCGTTGAAAAGGTGCTAACTCATCAGATAGATCGAAGCGGAAACGCATCTAAAACACACAGGCAGGACGTTGCAGGGAATCTATAAATCCTCGCAACAAAAAAGACATACGGTTTAGATCAGTAAGTACTCGAAGTTACTGAAAGCTAGTCCTAAGCCAATAACAACTAACAGAACAATCATTTATCTAAAACTAAATTATAAATCAGCGCAATCCGGAATCCAATGGATTAAGTGTAAAGACGTCATAACAGTCAGAGAAAACATGACTTTGTGCAATGCGAAAATATAGATATCGACAGATTGTAGTACCATGAAAGTGCATATGTGTATTATAACACTAACATTTAGTATGGTCTTAATTACTGAAAACAAAATGAATATTCATACAAATAAAAACAATGTTCAAAAATCTAATTACAGTGGTAACCTTTTGGAATAAGTTTATTTAAAGGATTCATAAGTTTACCCGTATCGTATCTAAACTTTTGCAGGGCGCGGTTAACAACGCCGTAAAAATTAAAATGTGCTATTCCGTTTGAAAGAAATATATTTATAGAATTTCTTTCTTTGCAAAGTCATTCTCACTTTTAATGTAACTATACTCAATAAGAACATTATTCTTCTTTTTACCATAACAACACCTACTGTCAGCTAACGCAGTTTCAGTTGTTGTCTTTCCTCGAGTGCCACCGATTCTAGAGCTGTAACAATTTAATAGAAAATACCTGTCAAGCCAGTTCCCACATGATTTCCTGATTTTGCTCTTTTAACAATGATGTACTAGTAAGTTTTAACATTCTTATTTCCTGATCAATTTTTTCCCAATAAACATCAATCAAAACAACTTTTTTTGATTCAAGACTTTGAGCGTTTCCACACCTTTGCATGGCAACATAATCATGGGCTTATAAGAAGACTGTCCGATAATTCATATCTAATCGTCAAAAGTAATTAGTGTGGCGTGGAGGATGCCGGCGAATATAATCTAAATCAAAGAACACAACACCCAGTGCCTTTGATATTTCAACTCCCAACGGAACTACAGGGTGCTCAGTGGGTTATAATCTGAGTTCTTTACCTATGCCATGATATATGTGGTCTCATCACGAAAGTAATATATTATCAATGCAATACATCCACGGTCTAATTAAGCATATATTCCATTTTCAGCCAGAGAATTGAAGATGTGTTCGTCAAAACCTCGCCGGCCATATTTAACAAACCCGTAGAATTATTCTGTAAGATTAATGATGAATTTAACACAAAACTTACCAGAAAATGGGAAAGAGGTATTGTCCCCTTGACGCACAACAACCTCACTGTTAACGAGTCAAAATACAAAGAAAGATTGACAAACATTGGATTTGGTCTTGAAATACTGAATTTTCAGGAGTCCGACCTAGATAAAGAGTATGTCTGCGTGTATGGTTTTGACAGATATCCAACGTATTTGACAATCAACATGGGTGAATTTGAGTGTAAGTAGGTTAATATATAAATAATATTTTTAGAAAATAACAATATATTTTTAATATCAAATAAACGTCAGATACAATGCCAATAAACAGAATGTTAATTATAAAAAACTTAAGGTGTTCACAAACAGCAATGTCAGAACAACACGAACTAAAAAGCTTTGTTTAAAATGAAATATTCTACTTATATTTTTATATCGTGGGTTTTTGAAACTTTCTAACATTTAAACAAGGAGTCATTTATAGTTAATACCTGTCGTTTAGTGACCTAATAGGTGTTTGGAATAACATGTATATGGACCTGCTCTGCCGGTGTTATATAGCTTATTTCCCATGCCTGTCCCCCCCACCCCCACCCAGGGAAAACCTGGCATGATCCACGGAAAGATGGCAATACGTTTCCATATAGCACTTTCCTCCATGCCCATATTAACCCACACGGGCCGTCAGACTTGCTCGGGAAAGTTTTTGGATAAGGAAGTTAAGAACAGTTTCACCAGAGGGCATTAATGAAAAAACAATGAATGAGTCCCTACCATCACTTGTTTCCAGTAACTTAGGCTTCAGTACAGGACTCTTACAGTCTTAAAGAATTTATTCCTCCTCCCAAACATCAATATTGAAAAATTTTCCAGCGTATTAATTCGTGATAATTTGTATAACGATCAAGTTTACTATTACAGTGTGACTACCACATGTCAAGATAAGAACCATGTGACATCTTACTGATGAAGGATATTAGTTAACCGAAATAATTAATAAACATTTGTTCATGATTTTTTTTTTTTTTTTTTGTGATGTTGTTCCCTTTTAGACTTGTTTTATATATTACATTTTGTAGTGTACTGTATCATAATTATATAATCCATCGCCCCGTAAGATTTATCGTTGGCTATTATTTAGACATTACAGTGAATGTAAAATAAAAACAGTAACACAATTTTCCATACGTTAAAGAATGTTGTAATTTATTCCAATGAAGAAGGCCGTAATGGCCAAAACGTTTGCAAAATTGTGTTATAGAATATATATATATATATATATATATATATATATATATATATATATATATATATATATATATATATATATATACAGACGTACTTATAATATAATTATTTCTGTGACTGTATCCTACATTAATTTGTAAGATCCTCTACGATAGATAATTCAGCTGATCTGTAATATTCCATCTTCATGCCTTATATATCATGTACTGTGTTACCACGCTAGATAAAAACTGACGAGGAAAGGTAACACCTGGCCACCGAAAGCTTGATTTTATCGATCCTAGGTGGTCGAGTGGTCCACCGCGCCGGGCATAGTGCAAGGCGAATTGGTGCCACGATATCCGGATTTCGACAATTAATGTCTCTTCAGTGATGTTAGGTATTTGGAAGGCCTATATATTTATATCATAAGTACGTGTGAACCAGTGACAACTATACGACAGGTTTTATCCATCGGATCACCAGTGATGGTGATACAAAGCTGAAAAAACATTCTGTATATATAATTCGTCTAAATAACAGCCCAACAATGTTAGATCTGAAAATGTTTTGTTCTTCCCTGGCCGGAATTCGAACTCATGCTACTGAGATATCGTGGCACCAAATCGCATTGCACTATGCCCGGCGCGCTAGATCACTCGGCCAACTAGGCTCGATAAAATCAAGCCTTCAGTGGCCGGGTGTTACCTTTCCTCGTCAGTTTTTATCTAGCGTCGTGACACAGTACATGATATATAAGGTATGAAGATGGAATATTACAGACGTACTTATAATACCATTATTTCTGTGACTATATCATACATTAATTTGTAAGATCCTCTACGATAGATAATTCAACTGATCTGTAATATTCCATATTCATGCCTTATATATCATGTACTGTGTTACGACGCTAGATAAAAACTGACGGAGAAAGGTAACACCCGGCCAGCGAAAGCTTGATTTAATCGAGCCTAAGTTGTCGAGTGGTCTAGCGCGCTGGGCATAGTGCAAGGTGATTTGATGCCATGATATCTCAGTAGCATGAGTTCGTATCACGGCCAGGGAAGATCAAAAAAATTTGCTTCCGCAAATTTACAGATCTAACATTGTTGGGCTGTTATTTAGACGAAATATATATATTATATATTATCCAACGCAATCATAGGTTTGAACGTTGTTTTCAATTTAGACTTTAGATATATATATATAGGTTTGAACGTTGTTTTCAATTTAGACTTGTTTATATAATATATATGTATATACAAGTACTTCTGAACCAGTGACAACTCTACGACAGATTTTATCCATCGGATCACCAGTGATGGTGATACAAGACTGAAAACACATTCTGTATATATAATTCGTCTAAAACAGCCCAAAAATGTTAGATCTGTAAATTTGCGGTAGGACATTTTTTGTTCTTGTCTAGCGCGCCGGGCATTGTGCATGGCGATTTGGTGTCACGATATCTCAGTAGCATGAGTTCGATTCCTGGCCTGACTATTTAGTATGTAAATATTAGAAAGTTAAAAATATTTACAATGCGATAAAAAATAAATACTTCGCTAGACAAACTAGCTTCATCAAGCGTGCATCTATCCAGGTGAAATCGGATGTAGGAACTTTTGCAGCTCACTGTACATGAATTTCGATGCCTTGTAAAGAATTCAAAATTTGGATGAAGTTCAAGATTATATATTTATTTACAAAATTGGTGGTTGAAGTTTGGCAGCTTTACAACATAAGCAATTCCTTCTCCCAAATGTTTGTAGCAACGGGGAGGTGGAGTAGGTTGCTTTGTTAATACAGCTGTCACTAATTTGTCACGGATGTTTTTAGGTCTTCTGAAGGCCATGACTGGTGGTGAGGAAAATACTTTTTTTTAAATATATTTGTAAGGAATTGCTTATGTTGTAAAGCTGTCAATACAAGCAGTTCTTTCATCAGCTCTTTACAAAACAAAATTATTCCATGTACTCAAATTCCAACTGTTAAAAAGAGAGCTAAATTTATATATTAACATGTAACACCTGTGGCATTCAGTATGTGGGAGAAACAATGGACAAATTTAATATTCGGCTAAATAAACATCGTTCATGGTACAAAAACAACAAAAACTGTCCTCTCACAAGACATCATCGCTCAAAGAAACATCCTTTTGATAATGTTACTTTCCAAATCATAGAAGTTAACACTGAGTGGGACACCACGGTGAGAAGGAGAAGAGAAAACTTTTGGATCCACCAGCTCCACACTTTAGAACATAACGGGCTGAATGCAAAAGACGAGAAAAGATACAGTAAAGATAAAGAATAATTTATTGTACAGCATCGTCCTTTTTATGGCCAATGGACGTTGAACACTTCAACCACCAATTTTGTAAATAAATATATAATCTTGAACTTCATCCAAATTTTGAGTTCTTTACAAGGCAGCGAAATTCATATACAATGAGCTGCAAAAGTTTCTTATCTACATCCGATTTCACCTGGATACATGTAGATGCACGCTTGATGAAGATAGTTTGTCTAGCGAAATATTGCGTTTATTTTTTATCGCATTGTAAATATTTTTAACATTCTAATATTTGACATTCTAAACAGTGTGTTAAAATTACATTGTTAGGCAATTTATAATTTCATTTGTGTAATTGAATTAATCTTTGTACGGATTAATCCACACTCAAATAGATTTGTATGTTATGTGTTGCTATTTATAGGCACTTATATATATATATATATATATATATATATATATTGAAAAGTTATAAATTTGTCCACGCTGTGCATAAATAGGACACAAATTAAGGCTGAAAATGCACTAAATATTTGAATTCAATATGAATATTCACATTTTGTCTATTAAGACATCAAATTGTTTTAAAATGTTCTCCATAATTTCCTTCTGGTTTCACTGTTTCACAGATATTCATGGTTATGGTTGCTGGCGACGTCGTCAGGGGTAACGTCTTTTAGCGACATCAATATTAATCCTGAACGTCATAATATAGTACAACGTAGGTTCTTAAAACGAAAGTGAAAGTACATATATAGAAATGCCTTTCGGATTCTCATTTTATCTATTTAATTTAGGACGGTATTTCTTAATGAAATAATTTTCTTTATTAATTCTCGTTGGTTCCGTTGTATTATCTGAACACTGATAAAATGGACAAATAAAGACATTTTGATGATTTGATCCTTGTACTTTGGACTCGAATTTGCTGTGTATGTACTGTCATTCGTTTTCTTATGGTGTTGCCGGTTTGTCCAATATAATTTTCCTGACAACCAATGCAAGTGATGATATATAGAAGGTTTTCCGATGCACATGTAAAACTGTTCTTGATTTTAAAAATGTGTCCGGATTTAAAAACGTCTTTTGTTCCTTCGGATAAACAAGATTCACAATTAGGTCGTCCACATTTTTGTACCTTTGGTTGACTATTTTCAGTTTGGAATGTTGCGCGGGTCAGCAACTTTTTCAACGATTTCGGTTGCCGTTTGCTTTTAATTACTTTATGTGAATTACAACTTTTTTAACGATTTCGGTTGCCGCTTGCTTTTAATTTTATGTGAATTTTTCGTTATATATATATACCCATCAAAATTGCACGGTCATTTATTGCATATATTTTCCGTATTTTCTTTAGAAATGATTGAACTCTGGAATGATAAATAGTCTGTTTTTCGGGTTGTGTTGCATAGAAGAAAAGTTTGATACAAATTGTTTTCGTTTCATCAAAACTTTAAAGGTCAAGGGCCAGGGGTTGGATGTAGGGCACATATATTTTGTTACAGGGGTGCCGTTTGCATTCGAAAAAATACCCCCATTCAGATATTGACGCTATCTAAAAATTCGACCTTTTTGTATGACTGACATCAAACCACACGTATATTTCATGGGGTCATTCGGTCATGTTACGCTCATTTGAAATTCATTTGCGGGGAAAAAATATGAATTTGAACTGATATGGGGCCATGGTACGAAGACAGCGCAAAATTACCCAATGCAACATGCAAACAAGACATCAGTTGATTTCAGTATATCTAATGCGATGGGACCCCTCTTATAATAAGCAGTCATATTTGGGCGGTCTCCAAAGTGTGTTAAGAAATCATATCTAAGGGCACATCATATGTTTCAAACATTCCTACAACAACTGTTACATATACCATCCGACAAAATTCTTTCTTCATACACATACCAAGGGTTCACACAGGAGAATGGATGTGATCACAACACCAGACTATGCTTCAGATATATATATAAATAAAGCGTCTGATATTGAATGCATCATGATACGATGATGGTGTAGAAACGCTTAAATAATTAAAAGAATAGCTACTATCCTTTAGTTAATGAATAGTTAATTTCCAACTGACGTCGCTGACGTCACGTTACTACAAGAGGGGAAAATAAGCTTCTCATGCTTCTAAATGGGAGAAATAGACCTGATTCTGGTTTCCTCCCTTCACGCTGAGAGGCAAAACTAGGATGATGCCGTTTTTTCGGGGGGAAATACTGGGTCGATCTGGAAAGATTGGCATTGGAGGAAAATGGCTATAGGACACCGGTTGTGAAATCATGTTTGCTCGATAAATAGACTTGCATTGACAAAATACATAGCATATTTGTAACAGTATAAAAAAATGTGAAACAATATAAAAATATTTGTAATGTACCACAATAGATTTCCGTGCCCAAAAATGGAACGATTGTGCCTGCAAAATGTTGATTACTTTTGTCTGTCTCTTACAGTACATCCAGTAGACGAAACGACGACGAAAACGTGGAGTTTTACAGCGAGAACTTTGGACATACAAATAAAGTTTTCTTTAATATACCCTATTCCAATTTGCAAAGTAATTTTAAATGTAAGTTATTATGAACGATTGGATAGAAATCTCAAAAAGTGTGAATGGAAATGGGGAATGTGTCAAAGTGACAACAACCCGACCGAAGAGCAGAAAACAGCCGAAGGCCACCAATGGGTTTTCAACACAGCGAGAAAATCCCGCACCTGGAGGCGTGCTTCAGCTGGCCCCTAAACAAAAATGTGTACTAGTTCAGTGATAATGGACGTCATACTAAACTCCAAAACATATAAATGAACTAAAATTAAAAATCATACAAGACTAACAAAGGCCAGAGGCTCCTGACTTTGGACAGGCGCAATAATGCGGCGGGGTTGAACATGTTTTGTGAGATCTCAAACCTCCTCCGATACCTCTAGCCAATGTAGAAAAAACAAACACACAGCAATACGCACAGTAAAAATCAGTTTAAAAGAATTCCGAGTCCGATGTCAGAATGGGTTACAAAAGAAACTTAGCAAAACGACAATGATACATAAATTAACAAAGGACTACTAGCAGTTACTGACATGCCATCTCCAGACCTCAATTGAACTGATTGAAAGATTATGTTTTCATCATATAAAAATCAAGCTCAATCCCCCACCCCGTTAAGGGTTTTGTATCATACCATCATAAAATATATGAGAAGAATATAACCCGTATCATGCCAACAACTGGTTTTAGAATAAATGTGTTTATTTCCGATGCAAAGACCCTATGAGTGAATCAATATTAATACAAAAATATGATATCTTCGATGACCTGACAACAGTATCGTAACTATATCCTTTCTTTATAAGTCTGTTTAAAGGTTTGGTTAGCTTTTGAGGTGAATGCCGACATTTTTGTGCTTGGTAAAGAATATTAAAACAAAAGATTGGATATGAAATACCTAAACGTATAAGATTTCTGCTGTTGATTTATATTGACGAATGATGTCCTTGTACCGATGATAAAACTTAGTAAATGTTTTGACTAGTTTGTGATATCGAAAACCCTGGTGTAATAATTTTTCAGTAGTACATAGATTTATTTAGTTAAAATCAAATACGTTGTTACATACACGAGCGAATCGAACAAGTTGAGATATATAAACACCATAAGATGGTGACAAGGGAACGTCACCATCTAAAAATGGATAATTAACAATAGGAAATGAAAAAATCATCTCTTTTGTCATAAATTTTGGTATTAAGCTTCCCGTTAAAGATAAAGATATCAAGATCCAGGAAAGGGCAGTGTTCATTGTTAGTATTAACTTTATTTAAAGTCAGTTCAGCAGGATAAATCTCTTTGGTGTTCATACTGAAGTCGTCATTATTGAGAACCAATACTTCATCTAAATATCAAAAAGTAATATTTAATTTTTGTATCAGATGTTGTTTCGATGGGTCTTTGCTGATTTTAGTCATAAGTTGTAACTCATAATAATACAGAAACAGGTCCGCAATAAGTGGTGCACACTAAGTCCTCATTGGAACTCCGATAACTTCACGTTTAAATGTTATTAAATTGTTCTGGTAAATCACTCGAATCTAGAGGAGAAGTATATTTTTAATAATAAAAAGTTGGTTATTTACATGTAGTCATACAAAATGTGTCTGTAATCAGTGGCTACAAGAGAAGACATAAATATAAGACGAGTAATGATGTAAAATTGCAAAGAATAGCAATGAAGCTTAATGGTTATCTTTCTTGCTTTCATCTTGAGAAAGTAGCTTATTTGCAGTAATGCAAAATACATTTATGGTCCCCGTTCCAATGTTATGACAGAAGACCTTAACACAGGCCAGGACCGAGAGTTGAAATCGTTCTTTAGAAAAGGATCTAATTATCGCCCCCGTCAACTGTTAAATGAAATGAGTGTCGTAACATCATCCACGACTCACTCCATACTTACTGTATTAAATGGATAAAACGAGAAAAAGCTGATAACATTGTGCTACCTCTTAACAAGAACCAAATAACATGAAAGTTCTAATTTTTTACTTGCTTTTGAAGCTTCACAAAACACTAATGATGCCAATATAGATTTATGTCGTCTTCAAGCCATTGTTCCATTACTAAACTGTCTATTCTACTCATTAGTAAATTTAGTACAATCAAAAACCTGGTAATAAATTTTTCAAATACGGTCTACGAAAATAGCGGTGTCAGAAATTTGTTGGATTGTTAAATTGCTTTCTCATAATGGGGCTTTCGAATTTGTTCAAAGTTTTCATTTTCTACCCTATATACCAATTTGCCTCATAATCTCAGTAAGATAAAATTCAAATACATGTACCTATTTAAATGGATTGGCATTTAAAAATTCAGATTGTGAATATATATGTTCAAACTTTTTAGTAACTACTAACAAAAAAAACTATGTCGATTGGTCTTTTGTTTGTTGTTGCTTTGATACGATAACTGCACTTGAATTTTTACAAGATACAATTTTTGTTCGCTATGGAGATTAAGTATATTGCAATGTTATCGGAATTCCAATGCGGACTAACTGTGCACCACTTATCTGTTTCTGTACTGTTACAAAGCACAATTTATGTTTAAAATCAGCAAAAACCCATCGAAACAACATCTGATACAAAATTAAAACACACTTTATTTGTCCTCTTGGACTTAATTTAAACAAAGCTACGAACAATGAACACTGCCCTTTCTTGGAGCTTGATATCTATATTTCTAACGGAGAGATTTACACTAAAATTTACGATAAAGGAGAGGATTTTTTATTTCCTATTGTTAATCATCCGTTTTTAGATGTTGGCATTCCCTTGACACCATCGTATAGTGTTTTTATATGTCAACTTGTTCGATTCGCTCTTGTGAAACAACGTACTTGATTTTAACAAAAGAAGTCTTTGTATTACTGAAAAATTACTACGCCAGGGTTTTCGATATCACAAACTGGTCAAAACGTTTACTAAATTTTATCATCGGTAAAAGGACATCATTCGTAATAATTGTTTGTGGCTTTGTTTTTTGTGTTGTTGGATACAACAATCCGTTGAATAATGCTTTTTGATATGTCTGAAATATTGTAATTTCTTGTTGTTGACCTTTTCAAGCTTACCGGTTTTAATGTTTGTTTATGGCTGAAAATTGCACACTTAATTGTTGGCTTTTCATTTTTTCAACCTTGTGTTAAGATGGATTGTTACGTAAAAGGCACACATACAAGATATTCTTATCTTTATTTATTTACAACTACCAAAAAAACATACATCTTAAACCCTTATGTGGTTAAAACAGAACTTTAAAATTTTATATAAGTAAACAAAGCAATGACATATACCTCGGTTAAAACACTTTTTATCTTTCAGGACAAAAATTTAACCATGTACATTACGACAGCATCCAAACAAGTTGGTTTGTTTTACTTTGCAACTGTAAAACTGGAAAAAAGTATTGAATCAATATGTCTGAAAAAATTACAAACGAATTGCACCGTAGGGAGGACAGAATTCGTTGTTATAAATTATCCTAGCACTACCCGAAATTGCAAAAATGCTGGTATGATATAATAAAAGTACCAATTTTGTTTATACCATTGATTGTTTTAATATTAATGAGAAAAATCTATCACTAGAATCCACAAAGTAGTGTCGTTTTGAATTGAAATACACAGTCATTTTCGAAGCTTGAATATTCTAATCAGGGAAATAGGGAGAAAGTGACGAAAATATGCTTCTTTTGTGCAAATCTAAATACTGTTTTTGATAATTGTCCTTTTACTTGTCTGTTATGAAATTTTTATTGCTTACATTTATAATCCGTGTAGCTTTTATTAATTTAGATATGCTTATTTTATTTTAACTCATTGTTTTCGGGTGTGTGTAGCCATGGCCCATCTGCACAGACAACAAGGAAACCTTTTTCATTATCAAAGTTTAATTGATTTTGCTTAACTCTTTTGACTTACAATTCACTTGGTATTGCTGTCAGCGGATACATGATAACGTATATATACAATCTCCCCCAACGTCGGCTTAAACTTGATTATAGGTCTCCGCATCTAGTAAGTGTTCTACTACCAATCTATCAGTGCTTCTAACTACCTCCCTTACTACTATCAAAGAACTTGTTATTAACTTTTGTAATAAAAGTTATGAAAATAATGGTATTAATTATTTTTGGAGTGTTAAAATTTCTTTAGAGGTTTTAGAAAAAATACATGCTTTTGATGATCCTTTTAATTCTGTTGACAGTTATGATTTTTCTATTCTCTATACTGCACCCACACAATCTTATCAAGAAAACTTTTTCATATTTAATTAAATGGTCTTTTGAAAAATCTAGATCTCATTACAAATTAATTTGCTGTAACTCGTTTAAAGCCTTTTTCTGTAACGAAAAAGGAAAGTATGCTAGATACACTTACTGGAAATGTGAAGATATGATTGAAGCTTTAAATTTTCTCCTGGACAACATATATGTACGTTTCGGCGATAAAGTGTATCGACAAGTAGTAGGTATTCCTATGGGCACTAACTGCGCCCCTTTAATAGCAGATTTATTCCTTTATTGCTATGAATCTCAGTTTATGACCATTTTAAATATGTTACATTTGGTTGATAACAATACCTTCCGTTATCTGGATGATATTTTTTCGTTAAATAATCCAGAGTTCTCTTGATATACTACCGAAATTTACCCAAAAGAACTTACTTTAACTAAATCTAACATAAACAGCAGTAGTTGTCCTTTTCTAGATTTGGACATTTCAATCTCTAAAGGACAACTCCATACTAAAATTTACGACAAAAGAGACGACTTTTCATTCCCTATTGTTAATTTTCCTTTTGAGACGGCGATGTTCCTTTGGCTCCATCATACGGTGTTTATATATCCCAACTCGTTCGTTATGCCCGTGTGTGTAGTGATGTCATAGATTTTAACGAACGCAATCAATGCATCACCGGTAAATTATTAAGTCAGGGATTTCGTTAGCATAAATTACGTAAAACTTTTACTAAATTCTTTCATAGATACAACGATTTTATTAGTAAATTTGGCTGTACCTGTAGAAAACTGATTAAAAACGGTATTTCACATCCTAAATTTTACGGTAATTTTGTACTTAAAACGCGGAAATCACTATGTGATCCGTGTTAACTCATCGAACCTTTAAACAAACTTATCAGTAAATGTTATCTTACCAATGATGTAATTATATCTTTGAATATAGTTTACATTGGCCCTTATATCGATTGTGACATCAGCAAATTAAAACATAACTAAATTTGTATTCTTTTCAAACGGGATGTATAAAGACACACACACGTTCATTTTGATCTATAAAGAGGTTAACTCCTAACTATCCTACTGCCTGTCGATACATTTATTTTTGGCATTGCACAAGTCATGTCTTCTTTGACTGTCCACGACGTAAAAATACTAAATCCCTGTGATGTGTTTTAGTTGATTTTAGTCTCTGATGCATGATTTGTTATTATTAATTGTTTTTGGCTTTTAACTAGCTGTCAGTAACTGCGAGTACTCTCAAATCGTATTTTCTTGTTTATTTGACCTGTTGATACTAATTGTAATGCTTTTTTGTTATTTAATGTTTACTTATTCAGGGTTATATCTGGTCTTTATACCAGCTTTGATAAGTGTTTCGTATTTCTATAAATTTTCACTTCTTCGTACTATGAACATCAAAATTATGTATTTTGTAAAAATATTTCCTTTCTCCATTTGAACTGTACACGTATACCTAACAACAAAATTATTTCCATTTACCTGTGTTTAAAGTAATTGCAAATGGCTGATATGTTTGTTCAAGAATATTGTTTTTCTTAAATTGTTTAACATTTCATAGCGGTATAACATGTTACTTTAATTATTCTTCCCTTGGTTTATTTATTTTGTAATTACATTGTATCATAGATCAAATTTATTTGTTCAGTGTATGTTCACTGGTGTTAATATGTTTTTTGATTGAGTTAAGCCATTTCAATTGATATTTTATAGTGTGTTTTTCTATGTTGTGATGTAACACTATTGTTGCAGATAAGGGTGAAGGTTTGGTACCATTAAAACGTTTAAACCCGCTGCAATATTGTTTGCAACTGTCCTAAGTCAGGAATCTGATGTTCAGTAGTTGTCGTTTGTTGATGTGGTTCATAAGTGTTTCTCGTTTCTCGTTTTTTATATAGACCGTTGGTTTTCCCGTTTGAATGGTTTTACACTAGTCATTTTGGGGCCCTTTATAGCTTGCTGTTCGGTGTGAGCCCAGGCTCCGTGTTGAAGACCGTACTTTGACCTATAATGGTTTACTTTTATAAATTTTGACTTGGATGGAGAGTTGTCTCATTGGCACTCATACCACATCTTATATCTATTGTACTTAAGTTTGGACCTTATAAAATTATGAGCTAGACACAACTAAACTTTATACAAGGATTAATAGTCGGATAAAATATAATTAGACACAAACGACGGAACAGGGTTCGATATCAGAAAGGGAGCATGAGGAAAGAGTACGAGATAGGAACGGTCGTAAATATACCTTCCTGCCACGAGTTGTAGTGACAAAAAGTTTAAACATTTGTATGTTCCTTAGTTTGAACTATTCAACGATATCAATTGATCAATTTAAGAAATTCAGCTTCAGTTAATAACTTTGCTTATTCTCCGTTTTCTCGTAAATGGCGTCTAAACCAATTCGAACTTTTTAGCTTCAATTACGTAGTCGGATAGTCCTTAGACCGTCAGATGAACGAATACAAAAAAAACCCAAACCATCGAGATGATCCACAATTTAAATAATTTAATTGTGATATTTATTTGTCATTGTCAATGTCCTGTTTAATGAACATAGATTTATGGACATAACTAGGCATTTCAATTGTTTATACGCCCGTAATTTGTTTTAGAAGCATACAGTAATCGTTTTGTCATTCCGTACGTCCATGTGTCCGACACAAATGGTTTCCGAGTGATAACTTCATTTTCACTTGATTCGGTGTGATTTGTATGAGACTTTTACAGATGGGATATTTAAGGAAGGGGATTAAGATTAATTAGTTTTGGGTCACTATGAATTGTAATACATTTTAAGCAGATGAAAAATTGCAATAATAGTACATGTTTGTCCATTCAATGATACTATTATATTGAACCCTTGAAAGAGAACTAAAAAAGTTCTTAAACAATAAATGTGCAGTTCGGGGAGAATCATTTGGCCGTGCCAGCTTCTTACTTATTTTTGTGTTTATTCAAGCATAATATAAGTACTTGCATGAACATGTACATACCCTTTTTAATAATCCATATTTCTTTATGAACAAACATTTATGTCATGAATACCCCTCACCTTACTTTTTTCCCTAAGATTAACTGTTTACACGGCGTATATAATTTCAGGCAAAAGGCAAGTTGAATATGGATATCTGTGGGCTTTTATCGTATTGGTGTTTAGAATTAATTCAGTTTTATGGAACATTTAGACTAGAACAGGTAAGTTACATTAAACCTTGACAAAGTTCTCTATTCGAGCTTTTAAATGCTTCGTTTTTTTTACAAGATAGTGGACAATGACTTTGCAATATTTTATTTATGTAATTAATAACTGTTATTTTTGTTTAAAGAACAGAGCATAACAAAAAATAAATTGGGAATGGAATTGGGGAATGTGTCAAAGAGACACCCGACCAAAGAGCATAAAACAGCCGAAGGCCACCAATGGGTCTTCAACACAGCGAGACTGAATAACATATAAATTTAGTATGTTTTGCTTTAGTTAAGATTTTTTATTTTATATAATGATGTTTTTTTTGTAAACATACATGTGTAGTTCAATTTATTTTTTTTTCACTAAATCTTTAACGTGATTAGGCAAAATGATTGAAGTCCAGGAAATATATAAAAAAAAGATTTGAATTCTGCTGCGATTCAAAGAAAATTAAGATGTGACATATTCATAGGACTATTCATGACCACCGAAAAGGCATAGAAAAGATAAAACAACATTACTAACAACAACAAACAAAGGGAACTATCAACACGTAAACAATGCTTGATAATTAGAGCTAGCTAGGTGTATCAACTCCACATGTGACATCCGTTGTATTAAACTTTCGTGTCTGTTTAGGTTATTCACTCAATTTTGTCAATATAACGGAAATGTAAACAACTGTCATACAAGAGGGAGATTAAGCTAGCTACAAAACCAGGCTTGATCCACCATTTTTTTTTCGGAAAATGCCTGTACCAAGTCAGGAATATGACAGTTGTTTTCCATTCGTTTCGTTGGTTCATAAAGTCTGCGGTTGTTTTTGTCAGTTTTTTATGCTTTTTTTTCCTTTTTGGATTTACCTTGAAGTTCGGTATTTCAAAATTCATATAAACTTTAGTCATAATTATTATGAATTATCCTTAAATTTTCAACATGTTCAATAAACAAATAATCGTTAAATATTTTTCCAATACAGTAGTTCTGAACAGAATTACTTTATGTTTAGTCAGCAGGTTTACAGTGAAAAGGTGTAAAATGTGTGCTCTTCGGATCTGTCAGACACACACTTTTGTTTTTCGATGCTTTGAATTAAGAGCGGGGTATGTTTCGCACGAAAACACGTGCATTATAGTGAATATTTTTTAATCGTGAAAGTTCTTAGCATCTAAGAAGAGTGTGGAAGAAGTGCGACGCAGGCTATTTAAGTCATGTGCCCGAAAATCAAAATAGAATATTGCCTAACATACATTTGCTTATTGTTTTTGTTTTTATTGTAGATCCAAAAACACTTTCTTCAGCATGCTGATTAAGTCAAGTTAAATTTAGGAAGTTTGTATAAGATTTTTGTGTTGGCGTTTAACCGAAAAACATAGTAGATTTAAAATAGATAAAAAATATTTCTGAATAGTTTGTATGTGACAATAATTATCTAAATACAATGTATTATAGTCAATTTCATCAACTGGAATATAAAGCGATTACTGACATCTGCTATGCAGTTCAGTCATAAAGCATCAAATGTTTGATTCCTCAACAAAGGAAACTCTGCGGATTATGCTAATAAAATTCAGTTCATTAGTAAAATAAATGGAAAAAAGACATTTTGATAAATAAGTTCAGCTTTTGAAATGTTAAATCTCATTTTAGAGATAATGGAAAAATTAAATTCATTAATTTTACTTTATCAAAATAATTGAAGACCACTTTAGAAAAGCGATTTGTAAAGACGATGTAAATAATTTCACAAAAGAAATTCCATGATTAAAAAATAATAATGAAACAAAAATGTTCAACGTTACTGTAAGCAAGTTCAAATACTTTTAAAATAAATAGAGAGAGAGAGAGAGAGAAGATACCAAGGGTGCAATAGTAATCATAAGTGCAATAAAAACACCACGACCAAAAATAAAAACGATGAAAAAACGAACAAATTTTCACAAAACACTTATATTTACAGATTAAGCAAAACTAACACCACCAAAAATACGGAAGTGAACTGCTAACAAAGAATTTTTAATATGTTACACTTAAATCGGCCAAAAGCAATGTGTTCATCAACAGTATATTTTTGTCCTCTCATTAGTAACTCTCAGTATACTGAAATATGACGTAAATGTTTGTTATGGTGTAAAAGCTTTTTTATGCACAGATTTTTTATTTCACATTCTTTTATTTGCTATGTGTTATTCAGTTGATCGATATTAAAAAGGTTTGAGAACGAAAAACTGCAAGTTTAAATCGCTTGACACGTTCGTGTCAGAATTCAGGAACAGCGTCAGTGGTTGTCCTTCAATATACATGATATATATTAGTTTTTGTGTCCTTGCGACACTTTGGTAAAAACGCAAAGCGTTTAAAGTGTTTGTTTAATTTACTCTAGTCTCTGGGTTAACTAGTCTGAGACAATATATATTACACAGAATCCACTCTATTATTAAACACTAAATGATTACTCTTATAGGTAGTTTGTTGTCGTGGGGATACTGTCTCATTGTCTTATTTTATATTTATTCATTTATGTATCATTCGTTTTTTCTGTCTTGTCTAAATTTTTCATAATCATTCAACTGTTGTTTTTCGTGACCAGATCTTGCAACGTTTGCCTATTTATCTCTTTCGTTTAATATTTATCACATTTTACAGTGATGCTTGTTAAAAAAAACCGTACAATATTTTAATTATAAAGTTGCACAGATTATATGATTTCTATATCTAACTTTACTACTAACGTATCATGAAGAATAATATTATTTTAAAGGGGCATTAGCTACGAGATATAAAAAATATAAAATATGATTTTTTTTGTTTAATCATTAATTAAAGTGAAATAGTGAAATAATAAATCGCTTTTAGCAGCCAGTTTGGTTCAATTTAGTTAAAATAAGCTAAGAAACATCGCTGTTGAATTATTCACTTGCAAGTTTAACCCCTTAGCTAGAGATCGGTTACGCATGAACTAGGCGTGCTCAACTACTAAAAGGAAAAGAATGTCAACATTGAAAGTGAAACAAGGGTAAACCATTTGGTTGACTGATGCGATCCACAAAAACTCATTCTTATACAGGTAAAAACGATGATTTACACATTTTTTAACCTATAATATGAAATCAAACAGACCTAGAAAAATCTAATTACACGTTTTCGCTATCTATTTATATCTCTATTTATGTTTATATCGTACTTTCGTGTTAATTTGACCTGTTGATACAATTGTATTTTTGTTATTTTACTTATTTAGTGTTATATCTAGTCTCACTATTTTTAATATATACCACCTTTGATAAGTGTTTGGTATGACGATAAATTTTCCCTTTTGTTCTCGTACTAGGAACAACAAAATTATTCATTTTGTAAAAAATATTTCCGTACTCCATGTATACCTTACAACAAAATTATTTTTATTTACCTGTGCGTTATTTTATTTGATGGCATTTTGTCCAAGGTTATGGTTGTCTTTCTGATATTGTTCAACATCTAACCCCCTTGTTTTATTAATTTTGTATTTACATTGTGTCATAGATCAAATTTATTCGTTCAGTGTATGTTCACTTGTTTTTGTTAATATATCTTTTGATTGAGTTAAGCCATTTCGATTGATATTTTATAGTGTGTCTTTCTATGTTGTGATGTTACACTATTGTTTCAGGTAGGGTGAAGGTTGGCGCTTATCAAAACGTTTAAACCCGATGCATTTGTTTGCACCTGTCCTAAGTCAGGAACCTGATGTTCAGTGGTTGTCGTTTGTTGATGTGGTTCATAAGTGTTTCTCGTTTCTCGTTTTTTATATAGATTAGACCGTTGGTTTTCCTGTTTGAATGGTTTTACACTAGTCATTTTTGGGGCCCTTTATAGCTTGCTGTTCGGTGTGAACCCAGGCTCCGTGTTGAAGGCCGTACTTTGACCTATAATGGTTTACTTTTACAAATTGTGACTTGGATGGAGAGTTGTCTCATTGGCACTCATACCAGTCTTCGTAGGCCACCTCGATGGTTAATTAGATGGCGTCTGTACTAAAATACACATAAGATATTGATACACATTATCGAATCCATGCATTGTTAATTGTTTATTTTAAACTTTTTGTAATTTGGATATACGTTTAAGTTTGTTATAAATCAAATATGAGAATTTGAGTTAAATCGGTGAAGATGAATTTGACAGCTAATGCCCCTTTAATCTAACCTTATTGGTGTTTAACATTTTCACAATTCTTGATAATTACAAATCAAAGGTTAAATTTCAACAGTAAAATCTTGTTGACAGTCATTAATATAAATACTTTTTCTTCATATATTTCCGGATCACATGGAATATTTTTGATATTGCTCATGAGCTTCAATCAAGCTTTATCACCTTTCGATACAAAGCATTTAGGGTATATAAAGTATATTTTCCACTTATAAACTATTGTAGAAGATATTCGTAGTTTCATATAAATCGTGTTAATGTAATTTATTTTGTAATTTCACTACCCGAAAGAGGAAAATGGTTTTACAATAAGTCCCTGAACTTAAGTTTTAATTTAGACAAAAATTGACCTCTCAAAAACTTTAAGTATACATATTTATAGTATATAACTATGTAAGAAAAGGTATAATTTAAAATTTTAGCAACATTGTCTTTTAATGTTTGTTTGTTTTTGATTTATTGTACTTTATTTTGTTGTTCTTTTCTTTCGTTATTGTTTTGTTTTTGTTGTTGTTTTTTATTGTTGTATTTATTGTTGTTTTTAATTGTTGTATTTGTTGTTGTATTGTGTTTTTGTATTGTGTTGTTGTTTTGTTGTTGTTCTTTTTTTTATATGTGTTCATGTTCGTCACTGTATAACTATTTAAAAATAAATCAAGTCAATGTTTATTACCTCAAATGCATTCTTTGTTCATATTTTCTTTGCAAATGAAAAAAAACCCACTAAACTTAATACAGTTGGTGCGTCCGAAGCGCTTTTCTGGATTACCCTTAATGACGAACGCTCAAACCAAAATATATGAAAGCCAAGAGCCCAAGAATGTATAAATACATAAATACATAAGGAGCTAGTTGACCAAAAGGATTCCGAACATAAGAAGAACAAGAGTGCACACGCTGAAATGTCTCGCCTGCTTTACTGACCATTGATTTTATGTTAAAAGTCTTAAATATCAAGTTTTATTTTAAGTATCGCATACACTTCACATGATCAAAGAAAATGAGGTCAAGGTCGGACAAACTAAGCCAGAAATACATGTACACCTTACAATCATTCCATACACCAAATAAAGTTGACCTATTGCTTATAGAATACAAGAAACAAACCAAACCATGAAAACTTTATAGTGACCAATGAACCATGAAGATGAGGTCAAGGTCAGATGATAACTGCCAGACAGACATACATTCTTATTTATATATGGAGAGTTGTCTCATTGGCACTCGTACCACATCTTCCTATATCTATGTACACCTGACAATCATTCCATGCTTTAAATATAGTTGACCTATTGCATATAGTATCGAATAAACAAACTTAACCAGGAAAACTTAACATTGACCAATGAACAATGAAAATGAGGTCAAGGTCAGATGATAACTGCCAGACAGACATACATTCTTATTTATATATACACCTTACAATCATTCATTACACCGAATATAGTTGACCTATCGCTTATAGTTTAAGAAAAAACAGATGAAAACACAAAAACTTAACGTTGAGCAATAAACTGTAAACATGAGGTCACGGTCAAATAAAACCTGCAAGACTGACATGTACATCGTAAAATATATCCATACACCAAATATAGTTGACCTATTGCATACAGTATTAGAAAAACAGACCAAAACACAAAAACTTAACTTTAACCAATGAACCATGAAAATGAGGTCAAGGTCAGATGACACCCGCCAGTTGGACATGTACACCTTACAATCATTCCAGTGAGAGGTTTAGCGCTATAAAACCAGGTTCAATCCACCATTTTCTACATAGGAAAATGCCGGTACCAAGTCAGGAATATGACAGTTGTTGTCCATTCGTTTGATGTGTTACGTTTGTGCTTTTGATTTTGCCATTTGATTAGGGACTTTCCGTTTTGGATTTTCCTCGGAGTTCAGTATTTTTGTGATTTAACTTTTTTCCATATACCAAATATAGTAGACCTATTGCTTATAGTATCTGAGATATGGACTTGACCACGAAAACATAACCTTGTTCACTAATCCATGAAATGAGGTCGAGGTAAAGTGAAAACTGTCTGACAGACATGAGAACCTTGCAAGGTACGCACATACCAAATATAGTTATCCTATTACTCATAATAACCAGACTCAAGCTAGCGAACACTAAGCCAGCGAACAATAAGATGCATCAAGCTAGCGAACAATAAGCCAGCGAACAATAAGAAAACGCGCCAACATGATCATGCCTAAAAACCGAAGACTTGCAATAACACAAAACGTCCTTTTAATTCTAATGACAATAATTTCCAGTAGGAGAACGAAATGCAATTCCATTTTAACACAGACAAAGTTAATTAGTTATTCGTGTATCTAATACAACTTTTTTTTAACCGGACATCTAAAATTCCTATTAGGTAATCCTTTCTCTTTTTAGTGCTCTCTGATTAGAGATGGGTTTGTTGTTGTTTTTATAATAATGAAACAATTAATAACAATAGTTCACACTAAACTAGTGTACATGTAACGATACAAATACATCTTCTACTTTACATATGCGTTTGAAAAGAAAAGAAAAATAAATCGACTGATTTTGGAACGTCCAGTATTTTTTGTTAGATTTTCTTAAGAAATAAAAGCATTATACGCGGTTTTCTTCTTTTGTCAAAGAACTAGTTCATTTTTCTAATTATTCAAAAGTATGTCGTCACTCTGGTAATGTATTTACTATATTTCGATGGGAAGAGTGATAAGTGTAAGAGTGGCACTCAAATAGAACGAGAAACGAATTGACATAAATATTTTGGTCCAAAGTTGGGGTAAGGTGACCCTACCACCACCCAATTTTAATTCATAAAAAAGTCCCTACGGCAAAGC